TCCCAAGTGGAATGAAGAGATGAAAAGGTGGACACCATTATTAAAAGAAGATATGATTATCTATAAATCAGATTCTTTTAATTCAATCACACATCCATAATGCATTTGATCTCTTTTTTAGATTGGTCCTAAGAATGAAAAAGTTATATCTCCAAATTTTGGGGCCCTAAAAATACTCTTAGATAATACTTAACGGAGAGTCCGGATGCTCCTAAATTTTTACTACGCCTTGTGTCATATTCCGATATTGTGAAGCAGCTCCTCCAATTTGTTTTTGGGTGTGGTTTGTATAAGTTTGCAATTTAAACAATCAAAGTAAAGTAACGTGCAACTCCAAATTTTATTATAACATGTAAATTTGGTGTAAAATATTCTTAGGATGGCCTAATAATCCACTTACATTTCTAATTATGAACTCTTAAATTTCATTAATACTTCAAATAAAATAGATCTATAAACACATGAAAAACTTTAAAAATGGACGGTCCAGATAATGTGTTACAAGACGCACTATTTTTGGACTAGAAAGCTCTTATTTTTCACATATCCGTACATCTCGATGTCGAGATAATCAATTAGAGGGTTTTCTAACATCAAAACAACTTTTTCCGCCATATTTTTGATGTGCACCTTAATTCTACATTTCAAAGTTGCGACTTTATATAAGCTTTGTTCTTTATTTTTTTTTGTTAGTTTAGTTGTGAGAATCAAACTTGAGATATGACCTTGCTAATGTCAATTAATAATATTTTATGACATATCTGTATTGATAATGCACCTCTTCAGGTTGTCATGTTTCATTAATGCGAATTGTGTTTTATAAACATGAACTAATAGTAGTTATAGGGTTACATTGTGGACGTTATGTATAGTGATAGGCATCCCCTATGTTGGGATGTCTTATTCATGCAAATTAGGTTGACATTGTTGCCTATACCTCCACTAGTTACATATTTGGCATTGGGTTCACTTCTATGGGGTATATTGACTTAGTTATGCAAACCCTTGTAACTTCACAAATAGTCAAAATTTATTTATATATTGTTATTATACAGAAGGACACGGTTTCTAGTCTCTGGACTTACTAATATATAAAAACTAAATAAATTTTAAAACTAAAAATAATAGTTTTTGAAGGAAATATTTAGACAATTCGTTTTAAATTTTTTTTGGAGGGACTACCATTTACATCCAGATAGATGTTTCATGACTCGAAGGACTCAAATATAAAAATGCGTCCGCCAATGCGTATAATACTTCTCCTATATAGTGTTATCGAGCCGAGCCAAACCAAGCCGAACCGAACCGAACTGACAAGTCCAATAGGTTAAACCACTTTTAGCATAACTATATTGGTCCAAACATGATAGCAAGCCATTAATGGGCGTTGTATTTATTAGAAACTAGGTGGTATAAGCCATTGGACTATGGATTTGTGTAGCCTATGTTGGATTATATTGGTTCATTCACGTGATGGGGATAGAAGGGATCCACCATTGAGATCATGCTATAACTTGTGGTTCCCACATTCTCTCCATCAATTTGGACTTCTTTTTCCCCATGGTGTACAATGCTACCCCAGTAGCATTATACGCCTTGGGGGCTTACACCACAATTCCTTCGAATAGATGTTCGATAGAACGGTAGGGCACCCAAGCGCTGTGAATCCGGCTTCGAGCATGGCCGGTTCGCATGTTGATTGTTGCACCACTATGTCTCTAGTTCGAACGCTGCAGCTAAATTCCCTTGAAAAAGAAAAAAAAACTATAGTCCATCTCCATCCTCCAACGTTCGTTGAAGGGAATGTACGGTGGATGACTCCTCAATGCACCACGCATACGTTTTTGGTAAGGTCCACGCGTAAGGATAGGTCCCATATGGGTTTCATTGACTAGAGAGAGATGTTATCTAGGGTAGGGGGTTCCAATAATCTGCATCCGTGTTATGAGCAAAGGCCCTAGATTACACGTGCAGGAGAGGACCAATATTCGACTGCTCGGGCGAGCCAACCTAGACTCGCAGGGAAAGGACCGGTGTTTGATTACTCGGGCGAGCCAACCTAAACTCACCACCTTGGTAAGTCTAAGTATCTCAAGATTGGTGGACAAGCTCGTGATATTAAAAAAAATGTTAAAGAAAAAAAAATAAAAATAATAAGAAATTAATTTGTCATATATCTTTTTTATATTTTCTATCATTTTGACAAAGATTGAGAAGCGTTCAGCTGTAAATACTTATTTTTATATTTTTTTTTCTTTTTGAATTATTTCTAAACTATTTTTCATATTCTTTTTTAAAAAAACTACGGTTTCTTTTACTTTTTAACTCTTTTGGGCCTGGCCAGGACCTGCTCAACTCGTGCAGAGTTATTAAGTCCGGCCCAGGGCCCGGTTCTAGCCCGAATCATGCTTTCCTACACTGAAGAGAACACATTGAAAAACAAACAAAATAAATTTCCTGATGTTAGAGAATTTAAGAGAGAGAGAGAGAGAGAGAGAGGAGGTAG